AGCTAACAGTTCTTGAGCACATGCCAGGTGCCAAATGCTTTGCCTCCTTGCCTTGTTTAAACATGACCCTCAGGTAGACAGGCATTATCATTCCCATTTTACAAGAAAAACTGAGGCTCAGTGCGGGAGGTGACTTGCTTAAGATGACAGCTTTAGGTAGTGAAACTGCAGTTCTGTGTACAGTACATCTGACACCAGGGTCCTTGGCAGGATGTGGATGGGATGGCAGAGGTGGTGGCTATAGGAGGTTCCAGACTTACAAGATAGGACTTGGACCTTCAATTACCCCTTAGGCTTCAGGATCTGGGTGTGGAGTGGCCGTGGGGGCTAGCCCCAACCTCAAGGAGTGACCAGAGGTGGGAGTGGGGCATGTGGGGAGGGTGGTAGAGGACAATGCTACTTGACTCACAGCTTGGACACATTGGGCTGGGGAGAAGATTCCTCACTTCCTGGATCCAGATGCAGGATGTGGGAGGGTAACTGGCTTCAGGAAGGCTCTGGGGAGAAGGATGGGCAAGTGTCTAGGGAGAAAAGGCGCAGGTGCCTGACCTGGCTCATCCTGGCAGCAGTGGAGGCAGAAGCAGGGTTCCCTTGCCCCTGTACCTGGGAATAGGGATCCCTGGGAACTTTTCAAGCACAGAGGTGGAGGGAGAGGTGGGAGCTCTGTGGTGGGAGAGGAAGAACTGGGCCCGGATTCTGGCTTCCACACAGCCCTGCATAAACCACAACCACAGGGCCTGCGTGAGATGGTTATTGGCTGCAAACTCCTGCAGGCAGGCTGGCAGGCCGCGCTGGGCAGGTGTGAGGGGCCCAGGACTGAGGGCAGGCTGGCGTGGCCGCCTGGCTGTCTGGGAGGCAGCAGAGCCGCAGGAGCCAGGGATTAGGCCTTGGACCTGACGTGCCCTGGTGGTGATGGGTTGGAAGGGGCTGCACAGAAGGCACTGCTCTTGCTAGCCCAACAGTTTTGGACAGTTACCCAACGTCTCTGGACCTCAGTTTCTCCATCTGAAAAATGGTACTCATCCTGGCACTTCAGGGTTGTTGCAAAGATTAGAAATGATGCATGTGAGTCAAGAAGCACACTGGCTGGTGCAGCAGGGATCTCAGTAGATGTTGGCAGGATCTTGTTTACTCATTTATTCCACATTTAACCCTACCATATGCCAGGCCACACTGGCACTGGCGATGCATAGGTAAAGCCTGAGCAGCCCCTCTAGAGGATCATGGGAGGTGCTAGGTGGGGGCAAGAACATGTATGGGGACCCTCCCCCCACACACTTTATTTTGGTGCACCTGCTTGGCCAGCTCCCCTCTGGCCTCATTCCCACCCAGGAGTGGAAGCATACGCACAAGTAGACAGTATAGCACATAGGTCTCCAGGTTCCCATCTCCCTGCTTCAGCCATCCCACCATTTCAACAACCCATCCTATATTCTGGATTATTTGAAAACAAAGCTCAGGTGCTGTCTCACTGCACCATGAATCCTTCAGTGTCTAATAGATGGGGACATTTTTTACCTGCTTGCAATGCTACCATCACACCTAACAAAACATGGATTCTCTCAACTGTCTGAGGTACAGAGACAGAGCTTGTTCACTGTGTTGGGCTGGGTGGGGCTTGGCTTCTTTCACCTGCCTGAGGGTTTCAGGGTTCTTGGCTCCTGGTGAGGGCTTCATGGCCTGTGGGGAAGGAGATGGGCAGATTTACATGCAGGCCATGAGCTTTCTGGGCCAGAGTTGCCTCCTCCCTAAAAGTGGCCCCTGGCTAAGGGTTAGGGTGAGGGCCTGCCCTGGGGGCTTGGGCTGCTGCCTGCAGTAGCACTGGTCTAGCTGGAGACGGTGTCCCAGGGCTCCCCACCCCAACAGGAGTCCCAGTGGGCTGCCTCATGCCTCATTGTGGGCATGAGTGTGAATGTGTGGATGTTTAAGTGTGTGCAAGTATGTGCAAATAGGTATGTGAGTGTGTGTGGTGGGGGCGGGGTGAGCAACAGGCCTCTCACATCACTGGGTAAATGGGGGATAGTGTTTAGGGGGGCCTTTGTGCCTGAGGACAGGCTGTTCCTGGCCTGGCCAGAGCTGCAGGGAACAACCAGGCGCCGACTTTGGAGGGGCCGAACCTGTCGCCCTGCCTTGTTACAGCTCCTCCTGACTCTTCTCTTTCTCCCCAACACCACAGGGAGCCAGGCCCAGGCAGCACTGGCTGGGGAACAGCTTGGGGTGGCATTTGGATGCCTGACCCTGGGTTTCCCAGGCCAAGGAGAGAGGGATCAGGGTATCTGAGGCAGGCGTTCCTTGTGGGGCACAGCCCTGGGTTAGGGCACTGGTCCTGATGCCAAGGAAAGCCATACACAGTCTCCTGTCAGGGTCAGAAACGGCACAGTGTAGAGATCAGAGGGCGCAACAGAGGACCCTAATTGTCAGTCTTGGATATCAGGGCCTTCCCTGGCCTTCGGTTTCTCTCTCTCTGTCGTATTGTTCCCTACCCTGGTTCCTGCCATGACTGTTGGGAGCATGCATGAGGCCACAGAGCCAGGGAAGACTTGGGCCTGTGGCTGGCCCAGTGCAGAAGCCCGCCAGCACCTGGGCCCAGCCTCCTGGCGTGAGGAGCTACAGGGGAGCAGTGGGGCCAGCAGGAAGAGAAGCGGCTCTCCAGGGGCAGGAGCTGCCCCATATCTACTGCAGCCTGAGAAGAGAGTGGTGCCAGGAGCCTGTCCAGGTTACAGGAGGTGCCCTAGAGCTCCCAGGGGCTCTGGTGCAGAGGTGGGAAAGGGTGGAGTGGTTGAGTGCCCATGGCTTCTCCCCCTGGCCTGGGCCTCCGAGCTGCTCTCCTTCCCTGTGTCTGGAGTAGGCACCTGGGGGCTCCTTCCACCAAGGCCTGGTGCAGGTTGCTGCCTTTGGCTTAGCCCCAGGTCTACCTCTAAAACACAGCACCGGGGATGAGAACTCAGGATTCCAGTCCTGACACTGACACTTGCCCACTGGTGACCTCAGATGAGCCCTTCCCTGGGGCCTCAAATTCTGCCCAGACAGAAATGCTGGGAGTGGAGGTGGATATCAGCTTCAAAGGGAGGCAGGGATGGTCCCAGGCATCCTCTCTGGGTCCCCTGATGCTCCTTTCTGCAGTGGACTCTGATCTCTCTCAGCCCTCAGCAGCTGGCTGCCTCTGGACATGGACACTGAGTCCAACCGGAAATCCTTCCTGTCCAGGGCAATTACTGGTTTCCACGGCTCCAAGAGATGTCAAAATGCAGGCTGTGTTTGCCTTGGGTTTGTTTTCTTTCCATGGAAAAACAAAACAAAACAAACACACAGGCACATGCACCTTGACACACAAGGGCAGATAACCAACCATTAACCTTGAAGCCTCAGCCCCAGCACAGTGGACACTCAGTGAATGCCTGCCGGGTGAGCAAACGACCCTGGGTCCTGGGTGGGAGGCCTGACTCCCCTTCTGCCCTGTGTGATCTTTAGCAAGGCTTTTTATCTGAGCCACAGACAGTGGGGGCAAGAGATCCATGTGCCCTGGGACTCCCTGGGTGCCAAGCCCTGCACCTGGCTCGTGCTCACTGGGCTGTCTCATCTGCACACTATCCTTAGGGAAGTTGGGGTAGCTGCAGCTATGCAGCCAGGGCCAGACAGGGCTTTGGGTGCAGGGGTGATCTGAGACAGACTCGGGCTCCTGTCCTCAGCTCTGTATGGAGGAGGGCAGCACCCTTCCAGGGCTGCTGGCAGAGTGCCTGCTGCAGATCCTTCTTCTCTGTTGGGCTGGGTGTCCCCTCTGCAACCCCCTGCTTGGCTGTGCTGATACCCATCTACAGCGCAGGCTTTCCCAGCCCTCCCTGCTATCCATTTACCCTGAGGGCAGGCACCAGGAGGCGAATTCTCCCTTTGTGCTAATAAGCAGGAGAAGGCTTGGTAGCTTCCAGGATTCACTGTGTACCTCAAATAAGACAACAGGTACTGTTTCTGGAGTCAAGGGGGGTCTCTGTTCCTGCCTGTTCCCCACTCCTCTCTGATCAGTGGTCCATCACAGAGGCTGCAGTCTGGAGGTATGAACTTGCCTGCAGACATATGGTTTGACTTGTATACTATATAAAAATTTAGTAAACTAAAAAATGGGAAAATTTCATATAACCACCCGGATTTCCAGTGCTGTCCACCCTGCCCCTCTCCAAGTAGTATATTCTTCAATAGCAACAACTGGCTGGAGCTGAGGATGGGGTGCCCCTCCAATGTGGCTGGAGCTCTCCCTTCCCAACCTCCCACCAGCCTCCTCATTGATGTCACCATCAGCCTCACAGAACCACAAAGGACCATTTCAAAGCCCTTCTCAACCTTGCACCTTGGACTCATCTGGGGGTTTTAAAAACCTGAGGACACACACCCAGGCCAAGTTCTCAAGCATCCCTGGGGTGGGACCATGGCCCTCATAGGTGAGTTAGGTGAGCGGCGAGGTTGAGAACAGCCAGAGCACAGACCCTGAGCTGAAGGGCCGCACGCAGGTGGTGGCTCCCTGTCCATCGCCCTCAGTAAGGGTCCTATCTCATGACAGCCACCCCAGGGACTTCCTAGGAGGCCCCAGACACTTTAGACTGCTGTGTGATGCCCAGTGTCTGCAACCCAAATCCCAGTCTTGGCGAGAAGGCTGTGTGAGCCACAGCAGCGAGGCCCGGGGCTGTCGTCTCTAAGGAAGATTCACTCCTATATATGGTCACCGGGAGTCCCATTGCTGAGCTAATGTGTGACCTAATATGCTGACAATCTCACCCAGTCTGCGGCCCAACTTGGGGAGGGCCTGTGCCTTGGAAAGTGTCCACTTGGGGGCAGAGAGGCTGGGAGGAGGCACATCAATGGTGTGGAGGCAGGGCAAAGACAAATGACCCAGATGCAGAGGGGCAAAAGGCCATCCCACGTCCCTCCCACCCTGGTCAGCCTCACACGTCTGAGAACGTCCAGCTCCCTATCGATGCTCTGTGTAAACAAGGAAAACCATGAGCCTCTTGTTTTCACAAGTCTTTTTAATACAGCACGAAAAGGCTATACTTCTATAGGCAGGCCGTATACAGATTCTCCAGGAATAAGGCACACAACGGAATGCCATCCCGAGGGCGGCCCTTCGGAGAGGTGGGGAGCTTTCTCCAAGACCCTCCAGGCTGGGCCCACGGGTTCTGTTTGTCTTTTTAGCTGGACACACATGTATTAACAGATACAGACATGGATGGGGTCACTACAGGAAGTGGAGGAGGTTGAACAGTGAGGCCGGCAGCAGAGAGCGATGGGCCCAGCTGCCACCAGTTCCCGGGGACGGCTCAGCCACCTCCCTGAAGGCTGGACTGCCTCCCAGACTTCAGGGTTAGTTGTCGCACTGGGCTACAATGTAGTGATGCTGGATTAAATATTCATTTAGGGTAGATTCAAGTCTGTTAGATATTGGAGGGCAGGTGTAAGGACTCTGGCTGACAAATCCAAGCTCAAAGAGCATGGGGCCCTGAGGCCTGGCTCAGATGGCAAAGCTCCACGAAGGGTGCGGAGAAGTCCGCCTCCCCCTTCCTCTTGCCTCTGGGGCCCTGTGGACCGGGACCCCTCTGCCCAGCTGCGGAGGCTGTCTCTGGGGCTGGCTGCCCGTGGAGGGGCTAGTTAGGCACTGGCCCCTTCTTCCCCCAGCCAACTCCCTGCCCACCCTTCTACAAAATTAATAACCATAATTAACAAGATAATAACAAGAAAGTGCGAGAGAATGGATTCCCAACGCTGTGTTTGTTATCCTCAGCTGAAGAAGCTCAAAGGGCTCACATTCCCTTTTTCACTACATATCTAATACTAGCTTCCCTTAAAAGAGGCAACAGTCTGCAAAATACACATATGTATAAATACACGACAGGAACATATTAATACTTGAATACTAAGTACTTGAATATTATGCTGGCTACTTAATACTGATATTTTCATCCAAGGAAAACAACACAGAATAACAACAATATGGCTTAAAGAATTGCAAAGATTTTTTTCCTCATCAGAATTATGTACCAACTTCATATAATATTCTATGTAGACAATATTTCCTTCTTAATGTAATTCAGTTGCATACTTTTTACAGATCAAAGCATAGTAAAAAAAAGAAAAAGAAAAAGACTAACAATAGGAAAAAGAGAAAAGTTTTTACCATAAATATTCCCTTGCAGCTCAACCAGACGGTTTGCAAAATACTTCCAGAAATCTTTTGATATTCTATTGCCCTGGTGAAAGCTACGAAGTTTTGAAAATACCTCTCTTTTTGTTTGTTCTTTATAATCTCAGAAACCCAGCAATTATATTTTTCTTTTCTTTTTCTTTTTGTAAAAAAAGGCCCTCAAATATATACAGACAAAACTCATCGTGAAGATTTTTCGGGAGAAGGTAACAAATTCAGTGTTGTGAGAAAAATTGGTAACTATGCAGAAGTTTTAACATCTATGAATTTTTTTCAAAATACACACATAGTATTTTTCTTTAAAAAAAAAAAAGGAATTCTGTGTCAAGTATAACTCAAAATAAATACAAATTCACGAGTAGAACTATCAAATACTTCATATGGGGTAAACACCATTATCTTCTGACTAGATCACTAGATCTAACTGCGAGCGATTGTCCCTTTTGAACGTTACTAAAACCACACACTTTCTTGTCCCCTGGACTCCCAGGCCCTCTGAGCACTTAATTCTCACAGCACCTGGCCTGGACAGCAGTGGCTTTTACTGACCACAGAAAGCTCCCCACTTCAGCCAGAGTAGTGCAGGAGAGGGAGTGGAGAGGGGCCGCCTTTGGCAAGAGGGCCCAGCCCCCAAGGTGGCTGGCTCTGCACAGATGGCAGGAGCAATGGCTGCCAGGTGGACAAGCCCACTGAAAAGGTCACTTTGGGGTGATATCCCATCTCCTATTGGCCTGTGGAAGGCTCTGGCCTCCAGGCGTCTGCTGCCTGGGATCTTTGTAGGGTGTGGGCTCCCCCCCATTGCAGCACAGTTGGAAAGTCCACTTAGGGGCCATGGTCCTTATGTGGAGCTGGGTCCCTGAAGGGGCCAAGGCCTGGTTCTTGCAGCAGAGACCAGCACATGACCTACCACTGCCAACGTTATCTTCAGCAGTGCGTGGGGATGACGGACAGTAACAGCTTCTCCTCGGGGACAGAGAGCTTTGGCTAGGGGACGCCAGCTCACCCTGACGCTGTGGAGAAAGCAGGAACTGCTGGGAGAGTCCGCAGCGGCTTAGCCAGAGGGCGGGGCAGGTGTTCACAGTGGTTGCAGAGCATTCTGCCCCTGTGGGTGGCAGGGGGGCAGCTGGAGGCTCAGGCCGGGCACAGACTCTCTTTAAGTGCTCAGAGGGCAGGCCCTGAAGTCCGCCTTGCAGCCCTCCAGCTGCCAACACACTCACTCCTCTCTTCACCTTCATCACTCCCGGACCCCAGTTAGCACTTCACTGTAACTCCTCAGTTGTACAAAGCATTTTCATTTGAAAACAAAAGGCGACTGGGCACTGGTTGGGTGTCCTAGAGCCGTGGTAAACACTGAATTTCAGGCCGTTTCATGGTCTGACTTTTTTCCACAGAGGCGTAATGTCAGGGCACAAGCAGGGGCCCCGTCCTGAGAGACGGCTCGCTCTGGCTCCCTGGGAGAGAGGAAGGGTGGCGTGACAGTGAAAACAGGGCCCCTGCGGTGAGGTGGGGGCAGGGAGCACAGCCCTCCTGCTAGGCAGGACTGCGGTCTCCCTGAGCGGGGTGTTGCGCCCAGAAGCCTCCCTGCCCCCTTGGGAGGTGGGAAATCGTTGTCCGCATCTTACAAACAAGAGGTTCTGTAGCTTGTCTCGGGGTTGCCCCATGTGAGGAGGAAGTGGGAGCCCTCCCTTTCATTTTGCCAGGGTTAGGGGACAGCAGGCAGGGCTGGGGGTGTAGGGGGTGACACGGAGGACTCGCATCCCTCAGCTTGACTTCTTAAGTGACTGATAGTGATGGTGTGCAGTAAGAAACCTGGTGAAACTCTCCCAATAAAGTTCTCTGCTCAGGAGGTTGTGCTCAGCCAGGCTGGATCCCAGAGTATCAGAACTGAGGTGGGCCTCTCGGCTCTCTGGAATCACTCGCTCACTTAGCCCATGGGGTAACTGAGGCCCAGGGATGAGACATCCTTCCCAGGGTTATGTAGTGTGTCAGCAGCAGGGCCAGCATTTGCACCTAGGTCTCCAGACTGCCAGGCCTGTGTCCTTCCTGCCAGAGTGGCTTCCTCACTGGGCCCTGCAACCTCCATCAAGGGGTGGTCCCCCAGTGTGGGTGGCAGGCAAAGAAGGGAAGGGAATGTGGTTGACAAAATCCACGGGGAAATAAATGTGTGTTGGAGGAGGGAAGGTGTTGCCTTTTGTGTCTCAAGTCGCCCCTGGGAACACTGCCCAACATTCAGTGCCCCCATCTCTAGATCTATTGGTGGGGAAGGGGGAAGGGAAGGGTGTGTGTGTGTGGCACCCAGGTGCAATGCTGGTGACATCAGGTTTGGGGCTCAAAGCGGGCATGGGGCAGAGATGCCTGCTCCCCAGCAGCTGCTAGAACAGGTGTCAGCTCCCCATGATCACTGACTTAAACAGGACAAAAAAATGGGGCTTTCCGAGAGTGGCTTTGCACACAGGGCAAACTGGAAGGTGATGGGGTGGGAAAAGGCAGCCTGCCTAGTGTTGGGGAGACAGTCCCCTGCAGGCTTTGGGATTCACAGTAAATTTAGTGCACTTGTGGCCAATATAAGGCTGCTTACCCCAAAGGGAGTCTCAGAGCAGGAGAGTCTGAGGGGAACACCAAGGGCTTTGTGGGGTCCTCTGCCTTGACCTCTGCTCAGCCCTGTCCCCTCCCACAGACCCCAGGCCCACCAGCAGGGAGTCCCAGAGACCCAGCTTTCCCTGGGACAGCTGCGTTAGTAACACTGTTTGTCAACACACATGAGACAAGAACTTAGGCCTGCCCCTGCCCAGACCTGCGAGCCTGCGAGGGTAGCCCCATGCACACGGGGACACGCAGCAACGTGGAGAAACACAGGGGAGGTGGTGTCTTCTCTGGCTGGCAGGAGGGTGGCCGCGGGGACGGCAGGCGGCAGGCCAGGTCATTGCACTCGGCGGCAGTAGTAGCCCAGCACCTTGCACTTCTCGCAGAGGTGCTGGGGGTGCTCCTTGCTCTGGTCGGACACGTCCAGACCATCAGGCTTCTCCAGGGGTCTCTGCAGAGAGGAAGGGGGAAGAGGCCCAAGAGTGGGGAGGAGGGAGCAGAAACACAAAGAGAAGCAGGGAGGAGACAGACATAGAGCAGCACAGAGAGACGGATGGACAGGAGGAGGGACACAGATACACAGAAAGGCCCAGAGAGAGAGCCTAGGGCTTCCCCATGTGTTCAGGGCCCTTCTGCCTCTGGCCTGCTGCAGTCACGCGTCCCAGGAGGCACAGGCCGAGGCCTTGGGCGGGGGCCAGCACTATGGGAGGGAGGTCCTGTACCCAGAGCCCGTTGTCCTTCCCCAGGACTCTCTGAGCAGCCACCACCTCACAAAAGCCCGGGATGCAGGCAAGACAGCGGCGCCCAGACATTGTCCCAGTGAGGAAACCGAGGCCCAGAGCAAGGAAGACCTGTGACCACATCTCCTGGCTCCCAGCACCCAGAACGTCTTCCCAGGTGACCCACCTGTCACCCTGTGCCTGCTTGTGCTGCCACAGGATTTGAGGAGAGTTTAACCTGGACATAGTTATAGTGCTTCAGGCTTGAAGTGAGAGAGCCCTTAGCTCCATGGGGCCAGCAGCTGGTGTTCTGATTCGCCCCTCATCCCAGGGCCTGCCCCAGTGACTGCCCTGGTTAAGGGGTCAGATGGGTGGACCTTCACGTTTCCTAACAGAGAAATGGAAGCCCAGGGAAGGGAGGTGACTTGCCAGGCCTATGATGCTGCTCACTCACTGGGAGCCTCAGGGAGCCTCAGCACCCACATCTGTAAGGTGGGCCGTCACTGCACATGTTGGCGGGGCATTGGGAGGATTCCGATGTCTAGATGTTTGTAAACTGAACAGTGTCAGGCCTGTACAGGTACATCTCTGTTATACCTGTTACATGGGGAGCTTCCATGCTCCCCTTTCCCCTCCCTCCCTGGCTTTTAAAAGCCAGCAAAGACTTGCTTGCCTGGAAAATTTATGGAGGTTATTAGGCACAGCTCCTGAGGCAAGACAGATTCTTGGCTGGCAGCCTGAGCCCCACCCTCAACCCCTACCTGCAAAAGAGTCCCCTGCATGGACCTTGGGGGACTCTGGGCCCCCTGGGAGCCACATGCTCAGGAGAGGCAGCAGGAATGACAGGAGCCTCTGTGCCAGGGACCACGACCCCAGATGGTCCAGTGGGGGCAGGAGCTGTGGGTCAGTGCTGCCCCTAGGCAGACTGCAAACTGCTCAGAAGGAGAACAGTGGCTTTCCCGCCCAGTTCTGCACTGCTTGGCCTGACAGAGCCAGTTTGGGGAAGGAAAGAAGGCTCTAGGAGGTGAGCATAGGGACTGTGGGTGGGCAGGGTTCTGATTAAGAGATCGTAAAGCCCATCTCTGTGTTTTTAGGCCTAAAGCCACACAGGGAAGTCCTGGAAAAAGGGCAGAAGCCTTGGCTTCATGTCAAGGGCCTTTCAAATAACCAGCTTTTCTGGCCAGGGAAGAGGAGAAAAAGTTTGACTTCATGTCAGACCTGACCCAAACTACCTAGGAGCTGTGTGGCCTGGGCAAGCCACCCGATCCCTCTTAACCTACATTTACACATCCGTTAAAGGGGATGTTCATAGCACTTTCCTCATGCAACTGTTAAATCTCAATGGAAATCATGCAGCTATTACTATTGTTTAGTATTATTATTAACGGGAGGGGGATACCAGTGGGTCAGTATAAACTGAAGCCACAGTTCTAAGCGGGAAGGATGCGACCTTTCTAGGTCACGTCACCTGCTCTCCCAGACATCTTGATGAACACTTCCAAGCATCCCACTGGCATGGCCAGCAAGCCCCCAGGGCTGTGCAGCTCCCTGCCAGGAGAGCAGCCTGGCTCAGTTCACTGCCTGCTCTGTAGGCAGGGCTTTCTGATCCTGAGCTGAACTCGGGGTCCCTGTACGGCCACCCCAGTGATCTCAGCCACAGACTCTCTGCTTGGCTCCCGTAGGTCTGGTGTGGGTTCTAAAGTGTCTGCTTCTCCAGACCAAACCCAGCCTGGTTTCTAGCTCCTCTTCTTGACTCCCGTGCTGGTCAGGGCCCCCTCCTTGCACCTGCCTTCCATGTGGGGCTGGAGAGGCCAGAGCAAGCCGGCCTGACACCACCCTTGCTCCCCATGGCTTATACTTTGTAAAGTGCTACCACATAAATCAGACCATCTAGCCTCACAACCTCTTGTGAGGGGCATCTTACCATCCTTACATATTACAGGTGAGGAAACTGAGGCTCCCTTATATTAAGGGTCTTGCCCAGGGGCCTGCAGCTCCACCTATCTGCCAAGGGCTATTGGGCAACACCTTTCTCCTCTAGAACCTCAACTTACCCTTCTGTAACCTGAGTGGGCGGTTAGTAACATTTGCTGTATGTCTGATAGGGAAGCAAATGGATGACTGTCTTAATGGACTTTATAACCACAAAGAACTCTACAAGACTCGGTAACTGCTGTGTGACCTCTAGCAAGTCACTTAACCTCTCTGTGCCTCAATTTTTTTCCTCTATGGAAGAGGCTAATAAGAGTACCTATTTGATAGGGTTGTAGTAAAGAACAGATAAATTAATAAATGGAGAATTATTAGATTAGTACCTGATAGTACAAAAGAGCAAAGTGTTGGCCAGTATTTAATATCAGGTATTCTTATTCTTATGTAGGGCTGGGACCGTCTGGGAGCAGACAAACCAGTTGAGTCCCTGTGGAAAAGCCCCTGCAATATCCTTGTCACCTCTGCCCCTTGGCTATGAGCCTATCAGCGCCCCTTCTCTCCATGGGTTCTGGCTCAGCTCTGCACCACTGTTGGGTGGGAGAGCTAGGGGAAGCTGTCAAGAATTCTCCTCTGTGGAGGGCAAACATTCAGCTGCTGGGATTGATCTCCCCAGGGCCATCCCCACCCCCTGCGGTGAGGCAAGCCCTTTAGTGTTTTCTTCTCCTGGGGCAGAGGACCAGCAGGGGGGAGCTGCAGCTGGAGCCTGACGGGAAACAGATGTGGTAGGGGAGGGAAGTTGGGGGAAGTGGAGGGTTCTCAGGAGAGGGATGCCACACAGGTCAGAGCTCAGGGGGCAGGAGAAAAAAAGCAGCCCCTCTTCACTGAGAGAAGGGATCTGGGGGATGGGGACTCCAAGCCCTCCTCTCAGTTCTTCAAAGGCTCCGGGCTTCTGACTGCTGGGGAGCGCTGCAGCGGGGACACCACCCCTTGCCTGGCTTGTAACCTCCCTGAGGGAGAAGAGCCTTGTGAAGCAGTGGCCCATGCAAGGAGCCTGGGGCTGCATGGCAGGTGATCTGGGCCGCAGGCCCATGGCACTGGCTGGCTGGGTGACCTTGCTCCAGTCCCATCTCTCTGGGACTCAGTTTCCCTACTGCACACAGTAGGTGCTCAACAAACAGGGCTGACTCACTGGGTGAGGGGAAGAACAGAGCCACTTGCCCTAGAAGAGCCTTCTGGGCTGGGCCCGTGAGACTGGTTGGGAGTATGGAGATGTGGGCTGGTCAGGGAGGCCACACTGGGACTGACGTTTTTGCAGGATGGAGACGATGAGGCCAGTGAGGGCCACTGCTGATCTGGGGAAGGTGGCAGAAGCCAAGAATGGACCGTGTCTTGGAAGGGGCATGGTTGCTGTGCCCTGCCACATGCTAGGGCAATATAGGGGCCCACTGAGGAGGCAGGAGCCACTGTGGCAGGTCTCTCCTGTCTCAGGTGCATGGGCCAGGCCCTGCCCCTCTGCCCAGGTTGCACAGGGTATGAGAGTCATAAGGTCTGAACGTCCCAGATCCCCAGCACAGACGTAAGCACCCATAAGTCTGAGCCCTGCAGGAGGTGGCCCTTTACCTATTCGAACCCCCGGCCAGCCTCTGTGACTGGCTCTCCCTGCTCCCCTCCTCCCTCCCAGGCCAGTCATCTATCTGCTCCCTCCAGGTTCCACATTTTCCTCTGGTCCAGACTTGATCCCTCTTCAAGTGTTCTAGGTTCTCTACTGACCTTGGGGAAGTCACTAACGTCCCCTTGCCTCACTTCCCTCCTCTGTAAATGGGGAGACAATAGAGCTGCCCTCTTGGGGTGGCGGAGGGATGACAGGTAGGATGTGCTGTTATAATCTTTCCGATACCCACCATCTCCCACTGCTGAGACCCACCAGGGGCCCTACCCCCTCTCCAGAGCTGGGAGCACAGCTTAGCACTTTCTCCCATCACACCCAGTTCATGTGCGGCCAACATGGGACACCAACTGACACCCGCCTGGCCTCAGGGCTGGCTCCCAACAGTTTAACAGACTGTCCCCAAACACAGGTGCAAGTTCAACTCTAAGGCACCACTTCCCACCCAGGGACCTTAGGGAGGCCACATGGCTTCTTCTCAGAATGGTGCTTTCCCTCCCTTGGAAATGCGGATCAGCGGGGCACCAGTTCTGAGGGCAGAGCACACGTGAAGGGTGTGTAGGGGCTCAACAAATGGCAGCCAGAGGATGACCATGCCTGTGAGTGGGGACAAGGTTTCTCTAAATGCCAGTCGCTGACCCTGGTGATGGAATCTTGTCTCTCCGGTTGAAGCACCTGGGAGAATGGGAGCCACTGAACGTAGTCTTCCTTTGGTGCCTTTGTAGGTCTGGCTCTAGGGTAGCTCTCACCAAGTGTGTCCAGTGAGAGAAAAAATGGACCCCTCTGAGTGGCACCAGCCAAGCCCAGAGGACCCCCGGGAGAGCAGAGTACAGCCCGGGGGGCAAAGTGCTGACTGACAGCTGGATATGGCAGGGAAGGTGTATTTGGACTGGAGTCCCAAGCCGTCTCAGGCATTTCCAGGAACCAGGACACCGTGTCTCCCTCAGACTGCACCCCCACCCCATTCCCTGGCCGTGCTCCTAAAACACTGTGAAAATTATGTCCACCCACTGCGTTGCCAGGCTTGTCTCAGTGCTCCCAGGCCTCAGTCTCTCCCCCAGTGCCGTTAGGTGTGGGCCTGTCCCCTCCACTAAGGAGACTGGTCTGCTGGGCCACCACAGCCAGCTTTGAGTCTGTCTGCCTGTGTGTTATAGTGTGGGGGGTGGGAAACGTGGAGACCCCTGGGGGCAGCAGGAGGGAGGGTCAGCAAGCAGAGGGAATGGAGGCCCGCATGAGGGTCATAAAGCCACCAAATGTTTCGGCCGCAGGAGTCCTCTAGGGCAGCTCCCAGTTGCTTATAGTACAATGAAGATCGAACTCCGTGCCGACCTCCCAGGCAGCCCCACACAGCCCAGCCTCTCCCTCTGAACTCTGCCTCAGCCCTCTGCTCCTCTAGTGCTCCGTACCCAGGCCTGTCCCCCAACCGTGTACTCACTGTTCCCTCACCGGAAGTGCACCCTGACCCTCTGGGCCACTCCGCCCTGCACCCTTGGCCTACCAACTGCCCTCCCCCTGAGATCAAGCAGTAGGGCTGCCTTCCCTAAGGGCTCCTGAAGCCCACCCCTCACCCCTCCACCTCTCCCACCCCTGGGCCTGCCAGCCTTCTCGGTGACTGAGTTTGCACAGGGGAGACTCGCTGCCCCCCAGCTCCTCAGTGCCCCGACTACCTCATCAGTAGCGGCTTTCTCTCCCATCACCCCCTCGGCCACGTCCTGGACTTGATCTTCCTCAGGAACCTGCCCTCTGTCCAGCTTCCTGGCTCCCACACCCCAGCCAGGAGAGGGTGGACAGTGAAGGCATTCTCTCTGCAGCCCGGCCCAAGTCTCCCGTCACGGCTCCTCGGACACTGCCCCAGCCAACAGGTCCGCTGCAGGCCGACCCCTCTCCGCTCTGCCCTGCAGAGCATCGGCTTCAGTGGTTCTCAAACCTTGGTTTTAGTTCAAGCTCTCCATATAAAAGTGATGGTCCACGAAGTTTGGGGACCACCTCCCTGTCGCCAAATCTTAAGGGCAGTCATTAAACCTGACTTCTTAGCACCACCCTCTCCAACAGTGCTGCCCCCGACCTCCAGGACTCCACGCTCCCTGGTCCCCTCCTCAAGGGGATCCTTCTCCTCCATCTGGACACCCAGTGCTGTGATTCTACAACACGTGCTCTGGGGAATCCCCTCTCCACTTTGTCTACACTTGGCAGGAAATCTCATCCAGTCCCTAATATCTTTAGGCCAGTGATACCCAGTTATGTAGAGTCACCTTGACCTCTCCAATGAGCTGCAGGTAACAAATCCAACTGCCTTCCTTACATCTCCACTCGGATCTTCAGGAACATCTCCGATGTAGCATGTGTATCAGAGGACTTTGGCTTTTATCTCCGACAGCCATGTCCCAGCCCCAGCCCAGACTGCCTGCCCCGGTAACAACCATGTCCATCCACTCAGGTGCGCAGGCCCAAAGTGTGATTGTTCTCCTGGATTCCGCCCCTCCCTCACCTTCCACATCCAATCCGTTGACCCATTGTGTGGGATCCAGATATACAGCAGCTTCCTTAGTTCGGACCTCTATCAGCTGGCACACAACTGTGGCCATTACTTTCCCACTGGTCTCTCCACTTTCAACCTCCCATCCTCCCAACAGACTAATCTCTATACACAACACTGAGCTTTGGGCATTAAGCACCCGAAGTTCAGGTGGCCTCAGGACATTTGCACCTACTGTACCCTCTTCTTAGGATGGCTGTCCCCTGGCTTGTGACAGGTCTAGCAGAGTAAATGGCCTTCTCTTTGCAGCCCGCAGTGAGTAGGTCCCCCCTGGTGAGCTCCTCTGCCCCTCCTACCTGGACAGGCCCACAAGTACCTTGGCCACCAGCCCCACCACAGTGCCTGGCACACAACAGCTGCCCCATATACGAGTCAACCTGACAAATAAGTGAACGAGAGGCACGTTTTCTACAGCATCCTGCTACCCTCACACCCTTCCTGTCTCCCAACAGCACCCCCAACTCTTTAGTTTCAAAATTCACCTGGGGTCTGTGGTCTCAGCCCCATTTTCCTCCTTCCCTCCCTAGGGACATGGTGCTCTCACTCCCATCTTAGATGAGTCAGGAAGGAAGGGCCGGCTTGGAGAGCTCTGGTCTCACCCTCCTTGTACGAAGGATAAACTGAGACCCACTATGGGGCAGTCACCGCCCTGTGGCCCAGGCCCGGCCCTGCCCAGCTCACCTGCTTGTGTGGGTACACGTTGATGTGGCACTTGATGCACTCCTGCCCCATGTTGGCCCAGGAATTCCCACTCATCCATTTTCTCTTGCACTTGGGACACTTGTACTCGCCAAAGCAGCGCTTTTTGCCCTGGTATGGGGTCAGACCCTCGCCTTTGGGGCGTGCCTAGAAGACAGGAAGCAAATGCGGGGATTGAGGTCCACCCGGCCAAGTCCACTCGGCCAACATGCTGCTCATTCTCATGTGGGGATGCTCACCAGGTCCCCAGTTTCCCACTTCAGCCTTCATATTCTGTCCGTGTGCACAGGCACCGTCTGTCTCCAATCCGGAGAAAACCAGGGTCACCCTCAGAGCACACATGGGAATCCCGAGGCTGGGAGGCCCAAAATTCTTGATGGTGGCTAGGAATTACCTCTTTAACTCTGTCATCATAAAGAGGCAGCTGGCAGTCACACATACCTGCACACAACTGTTCTTTGGCCCACACGGTATGTGGTTTACATGAGTATTGAAGGGGCACCAAGGGCACAGCTGGTGCGACATGGTAGGCAGTGAAAGTGCATCTCCCCCTCACCCCTGCTCCCCATGGCTGCTCCCCTATCTGGAGGCAATCTTAATTTCCTTCACAGGGCTCCAAGGACAGCCTGCATTTGCAAACACATGCAAGATCTGCATATGCACATGGATTCTTTCTTGCCCCTCACTCACAAGGACCCACATCATCAGTACTGAAGCTGCCCTCTTCTGTTTCCTAGTTGCACAGTATTCCATGCCATTTCCACACTGTTTGATGGTCATGATTACAGAACATCTCCCCTCTTCCACTGTTACAAACTGTGCTCCAATGAATACCTGTTTATCTGTACATATCATTTTGCACACATAAGAGTATATATATTTATGGGATAAAGTCCTAGAAATGGAATTGCAGAGTCAATGGGTATGTGCACTTTATTTTTAAGGATGATGACAAGTTGCTGCTGCCCCCACCTCACTGCAGGTGTACCAACTTAATGTCCCACATCCTCACCAACAGAATTTTCATCTTTGCCAATCTAAGAGGTAGAATGTCTTCCCAGAGTAGCTTTGACTTGTGTGTCTTTTACTATGAACTAGAGAGAATTTTCCTATGCATTCAAGAACCATTTGTGTTTCCTTTCATGAACTAACTTTATACTCTTTGGCGTTTTATTTTCTGCTGGGGTCTGGTATTTTTCTTGTTGATCTGTAACTGCATTTTATCTATTAAAGAATCTAGCTCTCTCCTGCATGGTGCTTTTTTTATAGCTTTATTGAGGTATGATTCATAAGCCCTACATTTCACTCATTTAAAGTGTCCAATTCAATGGGTTTCAGTATATCCAGTTACATAACCATCACTTCAATCTGATTTTAGAACATTTTTGTCACCTCCCAAAAGAAATTGTATCCATTAAAACTGTATCCCAAAGAAAACTGTATATATTAACAGTTACTTGCTATTTTACCCCGCCTTCTTACCCACACCCAAGGCAACCACTAATCTACTTTCTATTCTATGGATTTTCCTATTCCAGACAGCTCATATAAGCAGAATTGTACAATAACTGTCCTCTTGTGTCTGCCTTCTTTCACAGAAATAATGTTTTAAAGGTTCATCCATGTAGCATGCATCAGTACTACACTCCTTTTTGTTGTCAAATAATATTCCATTGTATGGATATGCCATCTTTTATTTACTCATTCATCAGATGATAGGCATTTGGGTTGTTTCTAATTTGTGGTTATTATGAGTAGTGCTGCTATGAACATTCAAATACAAGTTGTATAGTGTTTAATAAAGTTGACTCCGTTGCCCCAATATTTGACAATGGGAGATTTCACATAGAAATATGACCGCATGGGTCCAGACTTCTTACTGGTGACTATCAGCTGATGTTGAAGAATGACTGCCCCACCATGCTGACCGCTAAACGTCCTCCACATCACCTCCCTTCCAACCAGATGCTCCTTGAGTTTATGTCACCTACTTGGCACTTTAAGTCTGCGACAGGCTTAAACACAGGTTCTACACTGTGACTCTTCAAAGTGTGGTTCCTAGATTGTCATCAGCAGCATGACGAGAGCTTCTTAGAAATGCAGAATCTCAGGCCCTCTGTTAGATCTACTGAATCAGAATCTGCATTTTAACGAGGGCCCCTGGGAATTTATATGTCGTTGAGTTAAGAGGCATGGGCTATGAGATGATCTGTTTCCATAGTAGTTTCTCTAGGTGATTGCCTATTTAGAAAGCATGAAGGTTAAGAGCACAGACTATGAATCCAAATCTTAGTTCTGTGATCTTGGGCAAGTTACTTCACAAGGATAATGATAGGAACTACCATGTAAGACTGTTCTGAGGATAAATAAGATAATGCATGTAAAACACTTCGAATAGTGACTCACACATAAAAGTAAAACTGGAATATTAGTTATTATTGTTTGCTAATAATAGAACCAGTATATAAAATAATAATTTTCCTTCAGTAATCATGTTACTTTTTTCCAAGCCCAGGACAGTTACCAATTACCACCACTTGGTGACAGCCTGCTGGAATTCAGGCAAAACACTAAAAAGGGACATATATGCTGAATGTGTAAATCTAAACTTAGAGGCAACAGCACCCTGAATATTTGGGCCCTCTGCCTAAGGGCCTTGGCTCCTTACTGGCCTCCTGGCAGTTGTGATATACTGGGGAGAAGATTCAGTCTGTGCTGAGGCAGGGCTGGCTCTCAGGGGAGCAACCATCATGCAGGCAAAGCCAGTGGCCCAGGCAATCTGCAGGAGAGAGGTCAACATGTGCCTCTGAGGGCCCTGTGAGCTCTGATGGTCTCAGGATAGTGAGTGCACAGGGGGACCTCTAACCCCTTCTGGGGCCACCTTTTCTAGCTAGTGCCTGGTACCCACAGCTTCTAAGCAACCCCAGCTTCTACGGCCGCCCTTCTTCAGTAATCCTGAAATAATGTACTAGATGAACTAATTCCCTCATTTCCCCCTGTCCATAAAGGCACCCTACCCACATTTTATAGGGGGATGAGGGACAGGCATGGGGTGCCTCACAATAGTAGGATTTGAGACTATTGATTGATTGAGACTATTGACTATTTCTTGATTGAAGGGGAAATTTTGGGGACCATCACCAACCAGGCCCATTCTGGTTCTGTAGGCTACTTGGTTCAGAGACTGACAGGACCTCATAGAGTTGGGACAAAGGGCAGGCAGGGGTCAAGGCATCCCAGGGGCACTCAGCAGACTGCAGGGTAAGAACTGGGGCAGAACTGACAATTTGGCTCCCAAAAAGTCTCTGCTTCAGCAACGAGCAGGAAGGAAACCCAAACAAATAAAGATACAGAGTGTGCACCAAAGGGAGAAGCAGGAAGAGGACAGGAGAGCAAGGGGGCTGAGTCAGGAGGCCTTGCCACACGTAATTGGAAAACCAGGCATCCTGGAGCTGTCCATCACAGACTGGGAGCTGCTGGGCAGGGCCCAGGGACAGGGACTCTGGCCTTTTGCAGGACCAGATGTCCTCAGCACACCATTGCTGCATTGCTATCAGGCCAGGAACTGACCCCCCAGCAGATGGGATGGGGTTCAGACCTTGCATTTCAGGGCCAGACACATGTGCTTGCATTCTGCCTTGCCTGTGGCTATCTGGGTTACCCTTGGCAAGTTACTCAGCCTCTCTGTGCCTTGAATTCTTCACTAGGAAACCTGAGGTGATGACAAAGGGCCTGCCTCCCAAGGTGGCTGGAAGGACCTGATGCATTCATGCATATGAAAATCTTCACTTCGTGGTTGGACGTTGCCAGTGCTCAGTAACCACTGGCGATTTCAGCACAACGCTCTCCTGGGGCCTGTATAGGGAGAGGGAGCAGATGTGTTCTCAGGGACGCAGTGGCTAGGTCTGAGACCAGGCTGAGACCAGTGGGCATAAATCGTAGGAAGCAAGTCTCAAAGATGGAAGGGAGGCCTGGGTGGAGAGTAGGCTCACTATCCCCGGCTTGTGGGGGAAACGGCAAACAAAAAGGAATAGCATTAGGTGTGTTCACCTTCTGGAACTTTCAGGGAGGAACCAAGAAAGAGAGAAAGGCTGTAGAGGCTCTATAGATACTGCTGGCAGAGGGCGAAGGGAAGAGCAAAGAGAACAGGCATTTATGAAGTACCACTTATGTGCTGGACTTTGTGCTAAGGGCTCCATGGCCTGTCAGGCTCCTATTCAACTCTTTCTATGACCTCGTGGGGCAGGGAATATCATCAACCCCTTAACAGATGGTAAACTGAGGCACAGGGAAGGGGCAGGACTTGCCAAAGAGTTTCCTGTGCCTGAGAAGCAGGAGGCTAGGCACACTGAGCCCCACTAGGTATACTTACTTGGCTTACCTCCTCTTTTTTAAAAAAAATTTCTATTAAGGTATTATTGATAGACACTCTTATAAAGGTTTCACATGAAAAAACAATGTGGTTACTACATTTACCCATATTATCAAGTCCCCACCCATACCCCAATGCAGTCACTGTCTATCAGTGCAGCAAGATGCCACAGATCCACTATGTGCCTTCTCTGTGCTACACTGTTCTCCCGTGACCCCCACACCATGTGTACTAAACATAATACCCCTCAGTCCCCTTCTCCCTCCCTCCCCACCTGCCCTCCCACACCCCTCCCCTTTGGTAACCACTAGTTCATTCTTGGAGTCTCTGAGTCTGCTGCCATTTTGTTCCTTCAGTTTTGCTTCGTTGTTATACTCCACAAATGAGGGAAATCATTTGGCATTTGTCTTTCTCTGCCTGTTTTATTTCACTGAGCATAATACCCTCTAGTTCCATCCATGTTGTTGCAAATGGTAGGATTTGTTTCTTTCTTATGGCTGAATAGTATTCCGTTGTGTATATGTACCACATCTTCTTTATCCATTCATCTACAGATGGACACTTAGGTTGCTTCCGTATCTTGGCTATTGTAAAAAGTGCTGCGATAAACATAGGGGTGCATATGTCTTTTTGAATCTGAGAAGTTGTATTCTTTGGGTAAATCCCAAGGAGTGGGATTCCTGGGTCAAATGGTATTTCTATTTTTAATTTTTTGAGGAACCTCCATACTGCTTTCCACAATGGTTGACCTAGCTTACATTCCCACCAGTAGTGT